TATATTTTAGAGAAGAATTTAAAGAATAACCACAGAGAATTAGAACACTTGACCTGATTGTATCTGAGGTGTCAATTTTTTTTTTTCAGGTCAACTCAAGGGGAGAATTGACCTTACAGTTTCTTGATCGAAACTCCTCCTCAGTAGAGAAATTAGTCTTTGAGCTAGAGATAAATCCACTTTATCTTTCTCTTCTACCAGATTATAAGTCTAATTTTATACTAAATTTCCAAAATACATTCTTCTCTCTCTGAAACCATTTGACTTTTAAAAGCTCAAAAATCATCACCGATAATTGTGTTTTCCAAGCCTCTTTAAGTTGGGCAAAATTATTCCAAAAACTTTGTCATTATTGTTTTGAAATTGAGGAAGTCAGTCATCAAATATAGAGCATCAGGCTGAAGGTGCTGATATTGAGTTCCTGCATTTGCCAAGTGAAAGTTATCATTTCCCACTGTTTTAGAACATCCAAAAAGTATGTCAATGCATTCATATGATGAACAGTTTCTGATTTTGTCCTTTTAAGTAGTTTATCAATACCTTTAAACAGCATTCAAGCAAATCTTTTTTTTTTTTTTTAAATTTTTTTTTTTCAACGTTTTATTTATTTTTTAGGACAGAGAGAGGAACCAGAGCATGAGCAGGCAGTGGGGAGGGGCAGGGGGGGGGGGAACACAGAATGGAAGCAGGCTCCCGGGAGCTCCGAGGCAATGTGGCCAGGGAAGCGGCAGGCGGGGCTGGGAACTCCTGGGGCCCGGCGAGATGCGTGACCTGAAAAAGGCTTTTGGTCGGGGCCTTCTTTCGACTGCGCCACCCAGGCGCCCCAGCATTCAAGCAAATCTTGACAGTTATAACAAAGACTATAGCATACATCAAATCAATGTTCAATTTATAAATGCAGAGTCAGAACAGCAAAATACTGTGTCACCTAAAATACAATTACTTGGAAATCATATAGATGAATAGCTGTAGTTTAATTATTCCACATCTATATTATCCAAATGAAAAAAAATACTGTGACTCATGCTTTGGCAATCACAAGCATTTGTTTTATTTAAATGTTTTTATAACTTGTATAGCAGATACTGTCGTAAAGAAAAATTATGTATATTTAATTTATTCATTAGTAATAGTTTATGTTTTAGCAGTCATAAAAGAGATCATCTTACAAATTTTATTTCATAAATAAAACCCCTAGAAATGATCTATCCTACCACAATCTTAACATTTCTACACCAAGCACACCTAGAATGCATAGAGACCAAACAATGGAGATTATTATGGGTCCAAGGAAAAGAAGTTTGAGAAAAAAAAAAACCCCTCTCAAACCAGTTAAAAATCTCTAAGCAATCATCACTCTAGCAATTCTGATCAAAGGCCAATATTGATTTTTGTTAAAAGTTATTGAAATTTATTTTTAGGTCTGTGCTTACTATTTTTCCATTAAATACAAATTTATAGGGCATTACAATCTCAAGGAAAAAAAAACCATGGTGTATACCTCTGTGTTACAGTGGGTCAAGACATGCACAAACAGCTCTGAACAGGCAGAAATCGCTAAATCACTTCCTAAGAACAAACAACTTTGGAACTGCATTGCTGCTAAATTATTTCCATAAAAAGAAACAATATTAATGCCTGAATTTCCATACCTTGATCTATAAAAAACAGTTCCAAATGGGCATGTCTCTATCTCCCTGTCCTTGAGTGAATGGTCATCTACCCCATTTACTGGCATTCAGCTTTGGACATACTATCTCTCCTCCACATCAGCTCCTCTTTTTTCTAACCTCTGGGTGTGTGTGTGTGTGTGTGTGTGTGTGTGTGTGTGTGTGTGTGTACACAGACACACACATACTCAGGCAATTCTTCCATTTAAAGGGCATAGTTATTTCTGTGCCTCTCACCTCATATTCACATTTATCTTCTCATGCCTCCTAGCTATGATGCACCAGTGGAACAATATATTTGTTGGTGGTTAAACACATGTTATTGGATTCAAACAGCTTGTATTAGATACAAGTTCTGTGGCTTCCTACTTATGTGACCTTGGAAAGTTGTTTAACATTTCTGAACCTGTATTTCCTTAACCTAAAAAGAGAGATAATCATAAGACCTGATTCATAGGACTAAAAAACGTCAAGAAAAAAATTAGATAGCACTTGACACAATTAAGTGTTCCCACTACTATTATTATTATGGCTTTCTAGAAATCCTTTGCAAAAATTAACATACTTTCATTTCTAAATTTTTGAGAAGCAAGTGTTACTCTTCTGTATTGGGACAGAGTTGAGTAAATGAAAACTTTTCTGTTTTTTAAATCAAGCTATGAGGGAAAAAGAGTCTTGAAATAAAAACAGAATAACTTAATATTGTTTTAGAATTATCATAGGTCCTCCCCTGCCTGACAAAATATCTAATATTGGTTATTTTGTAACAACCATTAAGAAGAGTCAGAAAACCATCAGAAATTATCAGTCCAAAATCAAAAGATTTCTTTTAAATGCTCTTCAGAGAACAACACTAAATCACTTATAAGACTATCTCACTTTGAGTAATTTTTGGGTTCCTATTATGATTTTTACCCCAAAATTTCTAAATTGTGTGTTAAAAACTATATGGTAGCAATCTTAAGGGAAAAACTTAGTATTGCCACTTGAATATTTCCCATTTATGTTATAAATGAGCTCTTCCTGAAGTACACTCACTTTATACCATTTTAGTATTATTTAAAAGTATCCATAATTTATAAAAAAATAAGAACTTATTTTGTCAATATGTATAATTTTGATAACAGGCTCAAAAGAACTATAGTTACTTAAATAACAGACAAATCTAATTACGCATAAGAAAAAATTGAAACAAAACACAAATAGCATAAATATTTACCATTTGTAGAATCTTCACCATTCTAGTCTAACAATGTACATAATAAGAGAAAGCAGTTATTTTTTAAGGCCCTTAGAAACTTAAATCTTAATAAAGAGAGAGGTACAATTGTTCTTACTTTAATAGAAATTCTGAATGGAGTTTCTTTTTGAATATACTTTTGGAGGAGGGGTAGAAGAACAAGAAAGCAAAGAATAAATAGCAGTACTGTAACTGCGTATCACCCAAAATGAAACTAACTTCCTGATCTGTTCAATCTAATCAGGAACTTAACTAAAGTTATTAAGCTGGTCTTTAAAATTTTACAATTGTTATACTGGACTTGAGACTCTGAGCAACTCAAATGTTCCTCTGAAATATCAGAATATATATGGATAATAATGAGGCAAGAAGCTCATAAAATAAAGTTCAAAGGTAATATAAAAAGTTCTCTTTATGTTTTCAACCTAAACTTGCCCAAAAAATGTAAAGTTAAGTATTCCATCTGAAAACTGTCTGAACATACCCACACACGGTGACCAGAGAAGATAAAGTTCAAAGTTCAAGGTTCCTGTGATTTCACATAAGCTTCAGTTAAATTTTTTTTTTAGTGTTTATTTATTTTTGAGAGAGAGAGAGAGAGAAACAGTGCGAGCAGGGGAGGGGCAGAGAGAGGGAAACACAGAATCCAAAGCAGGTCCCAGGCTCTGAGAGGTCAGCACAGAGCCCCATGCGGGGCTTGAACCCACGAGAATCGTGAGATCATCAACTGAGCCAAAGTCGGACACTCAACCGACTGAGCCACCCAGGCACCCCCAGAACCTTCAGTTTTATCCCAAACCCACTTAGGGGGTAAATAAACAAAACAAAAATAAACAATAACAGTGAAAACATGGAATAGCTGCTGCTCTAAAGCTCAGAAGAGGGATGCAGTTCCTATCTCCTACATCCTGAACTCACACATAAGAAATGTGCTACTTACTGTTAGCTTTTCTCTTGAGTTGTGAAAAACAGGTAATTTCATTTATCATGGATATACACTCAGCTTTCACCCCAGTTTACCCTATTGCTCCCCACAGCTGCTGATATATTATTCTAAATTAAAAGCACATGAATCCAGGGGGGACCTGTCCTATCATTTTAAGAAGCAGCAACTGGAGGGGTGCCTGGGTGGCTCAGTGGGTCCTACTTCAACTCAGGTCATGATCTCAAGGTTCCTGGGTTTGAGCCCCATGTCTGGCTCTGTGCTGGTAGCTCAGAGCCTGGAGCCTGCTTCAGATTCTGTGTCTCCCTCTCTGTCTGCCCCTCAGCCACTCATGTTCTGTGTCTCTCTCTCTCTCAAAAAAATAAACATTAAAAAAAAAAGCAAGTGGAGTCTGCCTCTACACAAGAAGCCACTTATTTTTTAGTTCCATTTTAGTTCTCAATATAGTTGAAGCAGTTAGCAATATTACAAGTAAAATCTTTTGAAAAAAGAAAAAAATCAAAATAAGGGGCAATATGGAAGGAAAAAACAGGCCCCTTGTCACATTAAAGTAAAAAAAAAAACCCCACAACTTTGCATCATTGTTCCCAAAATCCCCTCCCATTCTGCCTAGTTCTAACACTTTTTAGGCTGAATTTAAACACCCTCTCCCACACACTGGCAATATAACTCTCTGATTAAAGGGGTCTCACTTCAAAAATAATCACAATGCCTAAATAGGCCTCCACTCAATTATCTTCAGTTAGCATGTTTTGCATCCTTACAGAACTGCACTCCTGCCCTTGATCTCAGTACCTAGAAGCACAAATGGCAAATTTCCCACTCCAGAAACTCACCAGTGTGTGATTTTACTTGCCTTCTTCCCCTAACCTTAAAGACCCTAAGCCACCATCTCCCATCTACCAAAACTCAGTAGCCGCCTTTTTCCTTCAAAGAAGAAATGTGGTTCTAACATAAGGCAAACAAAGCTAAACCCCATGGAAAAATGAAATCGATGCAACAAAGAGAAGAAACAGAAGGGGAGGAGGGGTGGAAGATGTGTGTGTCTTCTGAAAAAACAGCTGCCAGAGGAACTTCAATTTAAGGGTTCTGGGGCAGAAGGAGACTGGTATGTAGGAAAACAAAGTGGTCTCCCCACCCTCCTTACCGCCGTAGAACCAGAGGAAGATGCAATATACACACGGATCACCATCCTGGGAACGATGGCCGGCCGCTGTTGTTTGGGTCCTGCAAAGGGCTAGAGAGCAGCTGCCGCAAAGGCTGGAATCCACCTAGAGGTGGAACAGAGGTTGGAAGAGAAGGGTGGGGGAAGTTAGAAAGGGAAATTGCCAGAGACCCGCCTCCTCCCTTGACTGCTTTCACTGAGCTCAGAATACTGCAGTCTCAGCCCCAAAGCCTGGAAAACACAGGCTCATTTGCATCATTTCTATTTTTTTTTTATTAGGGAATCTCGAATAACACCGCGAGATCTGTTGAAACATTTATTTTTTACTATTCTCTCCCCGAGAAGAGGTAGAGGAGAAAGAAAAAACAAAAGAAAGGGTTGAATTAAATTATATTAAAATGAAGGACATTTTCCCACAGAAACTAAAAGTTCTGTGCATAACTTCCTGGTCAGAAATGTATGCAAATAAGACAGACCTTTCTTGAAATAAAGACGCTCTATGTTGAATACAGACACTGGTAAGAAAGCCCATGCCTTCCAAGCCTTGTGCATTTTAAGACTCCTATTATGTAGTGATTATCTAATGTTAGTTGGTAGCAGAAATTAGGCACTGAAGAAGTAACCAATGACACAGAAGGTTTAAGAAGTTTCAGGTTTCTCTAAGCCCAGAAACGGCAGGACTAGTTTTCTTTCTGTTTCACTTTTTGTTATGATAGGGAATCCTGTCTCTGTGAAAATTCACAGGAGGCCTGACTGGCAAACTCAATAATGGAGGAAGAAATTGCAAACAATAACAAAATTGAAAATACAGTGTAAGAAAGTGAATGACTTTTTGCTTTGTTTTGTTTTTTTTAACTGACTGAAGAAAGGGAGTTTGAATCGTATGTTGCAGAGATGTTTAAATGATGAACAGAGAAAATAAACGGTTATTTATAACTCTAGGGAATGAATAAACAATTGATAATGTCTAGAGAGGGACCCTGTACTTCAGAGTGTAATTTCATTATCCCAGATTATATCATATGAACAGAAATAAGAAACTTGCAAGATGAATAAGAGTGAGGTGAGGTAGTCACTTATCTGTCCTACTTCTTTCCTTTTCCTTTGCAGTTTTTCCTCCCTCTCCATTCTAGTGGTGTAATCACCTTTGTCTAGGTTCATTCATTGTAATACCTTCCTAACTGTTCCCTATTCATAGGTTCTCCCTTCTTCAATCTGTATGATCCATACAACAACCTTGAAGGGTGGATATTATAACAACAATTTTACAGATGAAGAAACTGAGACTCAGGAAAATAAGTAATTTTCCCAATGTCATATAGCTGGTAAATTCCAAAGTCAGTACTAGACCTTAAGTCAACCAACTTCAAAGGCCACCCTCTTGCCCATCCTGTATCACATTGACCAGAATAAGTAAAGTACTCAATAATAGTTACCTATCTTTCCTTCTAAAATATTACTTTCATACAGGGCACCTGGGTGGCTCAGTTGGTTAAGTGTCCAACTTCGGCTCAGGTCATGATCTCACAGTTTGTGGGTTCGAGCCCCACATCGGGCTCTGTGCTGACAGTTCAGATTCTGTGTCTGCCTGTCTCTCTGCCCCACCCCTGCTCATGCTCTGACTCTCTCTCTCTCTCTCTCTCTCAAAAATAAACAGTAAAAAATTTAAAATATTACTAAACATAGCTCTCCATAGACTATCAAATCAAACCTAAATTATGTTTCTAAGGATCTCCTTCCATAATCTGGCCCTACACTAGCCATAGTCTTATCCCTTCCTCCTCCAAACTAACTTCCCTACATAATCATTGTTGACTCCCCATTGAAATCACCATATTTATTCTCATTTTCATGCTTTTTCTGTTTTTCTCTCATTCTTCACTTTTCTCCCACACCCTTTTACTCTTTTCTGTCCTCTTCATGTGTCTAACTCCTTCTCTAGATACAACTCAAAATCATTATACAAATGATCAGGCAGAAATAAGTCAGGGTGATAAGCTACTTTCATTGTTGTCTAATTCAGGGTGACTGTTATTGTGCTTCCCAGTCCACAGGATAGGAAAATCTTCATTCAGGTTTTGATTTGGCAAAATGTACACAATTTTTCATATACATATATCACCCATACTCCTGTCTCTTAGTGGTCAACATGTATTCTATTTGGACGTTTTGACCCATAGTCTCTTTTGAATTGAAAAAATAAAAAGAAAGAAAGAAAAACTCTTGTACTTATTCTACATACTCATAAAATAAATTTACATCTGCAGAGAACTGGATGGCAGAATGAATAATGAGTTCAGTTTATCTGAAACTCTCAGGAATGGGAAGATGATTCCTGGTATTTAATTAATTTTAAATCCAGATATATTAATCTAAGTGAAAATTTCACCAATAAACAAAATCTGTTGTCCCTTATTGACAATACTTGGGATACATGAGGGGACCGATTTTACCAATATTTTTATCCTAGAAATTAACATTATAGATTATATTAGACTTACACCTTACTATATTCAACCATCTCTGGAATGTATATTCTAGAATAGACATTTTTGCTTCATTTTAATCTTACGTAAAGTAGTTCCCCAAATCATTTTAATATAATTTTACTGGAAAGATTATGGCCTGATTAAAGTAAGATGGATCAAAGAATTTTCAAACAGTATTTGTGACTTATTGCCATAAGATATCATTTATTTATTTATTTATTTATTTATTTATTTATTTATTTATATTTGTAAAATATAATTTATTGTC